ACGGAGACATCTGTTATCCAATATAGGAGCCTGATTAAGGAACGCTGGGTCTTTATTAGGTTTCTTTGTTTGGATCCTAATATTCTGGGATTATGGGGCCGGGTCTCTTCATCAAGTTCACACATTATACCATCCTAGGTCACCCAGTAACCTAAGAATAAAAAGGCCTCTCTTTTTGGCATTGGGTAACTTTATAAGGAACCTAGGACCACAAAAAGGGAATAAGGGTACTACCGGGCATCCTAGCATCGGTCTAAACCGACTCCCTAACTCCATAGACAAGTCGCAGGACCAATGGAACAGGAAGGAGTTCGGCGATGGCGGCCCCGACATTCCTTGGTGGTTGTGCGCCTAGGGATTACCCAGCTAGCTGGGTCTAGGTAGTAGTCTTGTAGGTTACTATGCGGGAGAGTGCATGACATTGAGTAGTACTTGGACTATTCGGCTAAGGTTTCGGATATACCACGAGCAACACCGCGCCTGAAGAGCTTGCTCCATGAGGATATCTTATACTTGTGAAATATGGGTGATTGTCAAAATTATGGTCCCTTTTTGGGTACCCTAAATCATGGGTGCCGTATTAGAATAAGGACCCAAAAAGGGACCCTGATTTTGACAACCACCCATATCAAAGGAGTAACCTACATGCTTGGCACCCCCAGGCCCCCTCATAATTAGTTTAATTATACAACCTCAAAACTCACGACTCATAAGCCTGTCGCACCGTTATAGTCGTAGCTCATCGTGTTTCTATATTATAGGTATCCTCAAAGCAATGGTATGATGCCCTTGTAGTCCGGATCCCGAAGTTGCGCAATAGAGTCTAGAGGAAGGGGCAGCCGTTCTTTTGCTGATGAGTTTAGGGTCATGGACGCCGAACAAAGCAAAACGAATTCCTAACGACCGCCCAGCGCTTGTTGCGCAACTCTCATGGGCTGGGGTCAACAGCAATTCGAACTTAGAACAGCTCCCATCTGCCACTGGGTGTCGGAATGAAGTTCAGTACGAAAGTCAGCATACCGAAAACCTCGGTGGGAGAGTCGGAACTTGCAAAAAGTTGAGCATCGGGTAGAAGACAAGATCAGGGCTAGGGATTTCTGGGTTTCTGGTCCTCTAGCTCGAAAACTTCAACCGCTCAGAGTTGGCGGATTCCGGTCTTCAGGTACTTTGTGGGTTTTGTCTGGATGTTCAAACGCTTAGGATTTAGGCGTAATAGCGTTTAGGGCTCAGAGTTTAGACGTTGGGGGGCTTTAGTGCTTGGAGGGGCCCAGCCATGCGGCCTACCTCGACTTCGAGTTTTAACCCTAAGCTGCGGGCCTTACTTTCCAAACTGTAGGCCTAAACCCTAAACCTTAAACTCGTAACCCCTAAACCCCTAAACCCCAAACCCCTGAACCCCTAAACCCTGAACCCCTAAATCCCTAAACCCTAAACCCTAACCCCTAACCCCTAAACCCCTAAACCCCTAAACCCCTACACCCCTACTCTGAGCCTCAGCCTGAGAACTATCAACCGCCAGACCAGGTCCAGGCTTCGAAGTGAATGGGCTTAGAGCTTAGGGTTTAGGGCTTTAGGGCTCTAGGGCTTTAGGGTTTTAGGGTTTAGGGCTTTAGGACTTTAGGGTTCTAAGGTTTAGGGTTTTAGGGCTCTAGAGCTTTAGGCTTTTGGAGTTTTCGGGCCGTTTTTGGGTGTTGAGTTTAGGGCTTAGGGCTTTAGGGTTCTAGGGTTTTGGGGTTTTAGGGTTTAGGGCTTTAGGGGTTTAGGGTTTTAGGGCTTTTGGGTTTAGGGTTTACACTGTAATGTGTCCTTTTGGCTCAGAGGACCGGTTGGCAGGACTTCGCACTGGGCTGTGCTCTGATCGAAGGTATTCCGCGGTTTAGGGTTTAGGGTTTAGGGTCATGGTCAAAGGTATTCCAAACCTATTTCGTGCATATGAACCTCTCTTCAAAGCGTGAGGCCAATCTAGGAGTACATCCGAATCGCCATGTAGGTCGGAGCTGGCTGGAGGTTCGTGTGTTCAGTAGAATGAAGGACTTTCTACCTGGAACACAGGAAACGTGGAGATGAGTTGGTCCTACGTGGGCCTATGTGAGTTTGGGCTTCAGGCCTGTGGAAACTTAGAGGGCACAGGCTTGGGGTTAGGGTGAGCTTTAGTTGCAAAAGTTTGCAAGCAAGGGTAGTAACTGAAAACCGGCCCGTACATCCCCACACACCCTGAAATCGCACCAACCTACTCAATGCACCCAAAACAATGCCACAAACCGCACCGGGCATAGGACTTTGGAAACTAGACCTTTAACCCTAAACCTGAAACACCAGACACGTGCAACATGGGGTTTAAGGTTCACAGTCCCCTCTGCGTTTTCTGCTAACTCGCACGGAGCTGCCAGGAGTCTCTCCAGTTACTTTTCGTTAGGGTTTAGGGTTTAGGGTTTAGGGCGGGTCTACAGGGTTTAGGGTTTATGGGGTACAGAGTTTAGGGTTTATAGGGTATAAGGTTTCGGGATTTAGGGTTTAGTGTGACGCTTCTTCTTATTCCTCACCTTATGACTTCTGATGGCTGGCACACGACACAAAAGCAGATAACCTGACTAGCAGGGTCAGTCACCAAGCCCACAAACCCAGACGCCAAATGGCTGAACGGAACAAGCCATAAACCCCAAACGGCAACCTCGTATCAACCCAAGCCCTCACCTTGAAACCTTGTGCCGCCTGAACGATAAACTCACCCTAAGGGTCCATGTACCCAAATAGTATATACTTTGGCCCCAAAGTACCTATGTAGGGACTACTTTTTAAGGCCGATATATATATATATATATGTATATATACTATTTGGGTACATGGACCCTGAAACCCTAAACCCCTTATAGAACCCTTATAGAAGCCGTAAAGGCACCCCGTATACAGGAACCCTATTTGGCCTTAGAAACCCCTTAAAGGCTTAGGGTCACAGCGCAACGAACGGTTCGACCGAGGGTCGAAGGCCAGGTCTACACGCATCACGTACAAGCAGAAGCCGACAGCGGCACCAATCCTTGCCAAGGGCGAGGGTTTAAGGTTTAAGGTTTTGGGTATAGGGCTTAGGGTTTAGGGTTTAAGGTTTAGGGTTTTGGGTATAGGGGTTTAGGGTTTTATGGTTTAGAGGGAACCACCAAAGTCCAATTCCGAGCTTTAATGCATAGGTAAAGTCCCCAAACACAAACTCCCGACCCGATCCCTGCCCGGCCGCCCCATCGAACATGCCACAATCAAACAAACGCTTGTATGGAACCCTGACCCTAAGGGTCCATGTACCCAAATAGTATATACTTTGGGCCCAATGTACCCACATAGGGAGTACTTTAAGGCCAATGTATATACTATTTAGGTACATGGACCCTTAGGGTGATGAATAACATGAGAAAACGCTTCTCTGTCTGTCAGGATGTTTTGTGCTGGCTCATCCGCAGCATCGCAACGACAAAGCGACACCTGCGGGTTAACCAGAAGACCATGTTTATTGCCCCGTGGTGCCCGAACAAGACCTGTGTAAAGGAGCAGCTTACCAAATCAAGGAAACACATTAATATGTGCTTGCAGACATCCGCGTATTTGCGCGCACAGAGCTTCCATGCCTCAATCCTTCCATTAGCTAAATTCTGACACAACTTCGTTTCATAGAACTCGTGCTGTTCGTCCAGATATCCCAGTTGGCACTATAAGCTAAACCCTAAACCCTAAATCTAAATCCTAAACCGTATTACACTTCAGGGCCTTGTTGCTGGCAGAAACCATAAATGAGGACTACTTGGACCTTCCAGGAACCCCGCCCTCAATGGTCCTTCAATGGAGCCCTTACGGCCCTTAATAGTGGGTATTTGATCATGGGACTTAGTAAGTAAGGGTATAAGTACCTTAATTGGAGTTATAAGTAGAGTTGCCCTAATTATAACCCTAGTTACTAAGTCCCATGATCCTTTAAGTAGGCTTTAGGGTCTGCAGTGCCATCCTGCTTCCAAGAACTTCCACAGGAGATAACTGAGGGATCCTTAACTTGGAGGCTATTGCTGGTGGCTCGTTCGTATCAGGAATCCATGGACGAACCAGTGATGAAAGCCCCTATTTGGCCCGGGTGCACAGCACTGGAGATCGTCTTCCACAGTAGATAGCTCTGCATGAGGTGTTTGATGCCCTGCTTGCGCCTCCTGATTCAGGAATCTGGGGGTTCAGGGATTAGGCTACCCTAAACCCTAAACCTTAAACCCTAAACCCTAAATCCTAAACCCTGAAAACCTAAACCCTTTAGGGGTTTAATTATAGTATCCTTAAGCGAGGGGGCTCCAAGGGGGGTACATGGCCTAGTGATCCCTAACTCTCCCTAGTACTCCCTAAGGTTCCCCTAAGGATTCCTTGTACCCTCCCCCCTTGAACCACCCTCCCTTAAGGATCCTATAATTTAAGGTCTTAAACCCTGAACCTAAATCCTAAACCCTAAACCTTATAAATCCTAAATCCTAAACCCTAAATCCTAAGCCCTGAAACCCTAAACCCTTTAGGGGTTTAAGGTCCCGGATGTAAGGAGATCTCGAGTTTCTGTCTTAGGGGGATTGCGGGTCCTATGTGGCTCTGTAGGCTTCGGCCCGAGATCGGGGCTGCAGGCTGACATTTGTTAGGGGTTTAAGGATTAGGGTTAGGGGTTTAGGGTTTAGGGTTTAGGGGTTTAGGGGTTTAGGTTTTAGGGTTAGGGGTTTAGGGTTTAGGGTTAGAGGTTTAGGGTTTGGGACTTAGGGTTAGGGTTTGGCTGAAACCTCGAAACAACGAAACCTCAACATGCACACGGCCTAGGATACAGAAATTCACAAGCGCCATGCCAGCAAGACCTTGAACCTCACCTTCTATACCTTAACCCTGAAGAACCTACCTTTTTAGGGTTCCCTATTATGATTTCCTTATATAAGTGCTTAAGAATGTAGGTTCTTCAGGGTTAAGGTAGGCGCTAGCAGCTACGTACCAACACCTCAAACATACAAAGACAAACGAGAGGGATTAACGTCAGAGCCGACCCCCTCCACAGATTTGCATATGATAGTGAAGCCACGAAACCTTTGGCAAACAACCCCTGTAATAAACTTGAACTTTAAACCCTGTGCCCACACCTGTGCCCTGCTTTGGGGCTTTGGGGCTGGTGAGAAAGTCCTCTTGTCATGTGGATTCGGCAGCATCGCATACAAGCAGAAGAAGAACATCAGTGATGTAAGCACGATGCCCTCCGAGAAGGCAATCACGGCCTGGGCATGTCAGGCGACAGTTTAAGCATTCAGACGATTTGCTTTAAAGTTTATAACTACTCGTTTCCATTGCATCCGTGGCGCAGTCAGCGTGTCCATCAGCTGACCTCCGCAGTTCGGCGCTTGAGACAATCCTTGAACTCTACATGCCTGAACACCTCAACACTCAGGCACCCATGGAAAAGATGGAGAAATGAGTAGTGGCTGGCAATTACATGCGGCTTGAAATCCCTTGGAACCCCTTCAAATGAGTTTTGGTCTAAACGGGGTCGCCGAGCTCCGGTTAGCGGGGGTCAAACACTCGTTGATACGAATTCCAACCTTTCCAAAATGCGGGGCTTCAAATCGTAAACCCTCAACCCTAGACCCGGTATCTTGTTTTGTGTTCTTACAACTCAACAGGATCCTGGTATCTAGGCTTTCGTTACGCCCCCTTATGTTTCTTGAGTTACTTACTTCCCCCAATAAGCCACAGCAATAAAAGATTAAACTTTCCGACTGCTAGCAAACTATAAGAATCCAAGCAGGAAAAACCAAGCTTGGGTAATGTAGGGGCCTTAATGATTAGACTAGGGTTTTGGGGCCCACTATACTATAACTATAATAGGGAACCGCCAAAATAGTATAGGCAATTATTTGATTTCAGGGCTTGGGATTTCGGATGATTTGGGAGTCCCTGTCCTTGACCGGGAGGGGTTGCAAAACGTTGGGGGCTTTGTGCTTCTGTAGGTTGGGATTTTAGCCTCAGATACCCTAAGGGTCCATGCACCTAAATAGTATATACATTGGCCTTTAAGTACTCCTTATGTGGGTACATTGGGCCCAAAGTATATACTATTTGGGTACATGGACCCTTAGGGATACACAAGACTCGTTTTGTTTGGCTGCTGTAAATTCTACGCAAGTCGCTGGGGAAGGTCGCATGAGTCCTCCCACAGATGCACATGATTGCATTGTCACACATACCACCTACCCACCACTCCAGGGCGGGCGGGATTTGCTGTTGAAAGCCGCTTGGGGGAAGCACAGCCGCAAATGTCCTGAAGCAAAACCTGACACTCAAGACAGACTCACACTCAAAAGAGACATGGCTATATTATGGTACCCTGATAGACCTTTCGTAAATAGTAACCCTTATAGACCCTTGTAAAGGAACCGTATTATAGTACTTTTATAAGGGATCTAGTAGCCCTCATAGACCCCTCTAAAGGAACCTACAGACGCACTGGACTGCTCGAGAGTCCCCCCGTCGCAACCCTACCAAGGGCTTACGGGGGGCCTATGTTTCCTTTAAAGAGTTCCTTAAAGACCCTAAGGTTCCTTCAAAGGGTTCCTTAAAGGGATCTATGAGGGTTCTATAAAGGGCTTAAGGTTTTTCCGAAATTGGGAACTCTAATATAGTACGCTAAGTAGAAGGATCCTCATTATAAGGACCCCAAAACCAATAAGGTACCCCTAACTTTCAGAAACTCACGTATAGTCTTCACTTCTTCGCGCGTCTTCACAGCTTGGGAGCTTGTGCAGTCATACATCGAACGCAGGAAGTGACGCCGGCGCCTCGAAACGTCGCGAAGATGGTGGACCAGTCCATTTTGCTGAGGTCGACACCGTGCTTCTTCCTCGGCGATCGTGATTGCACATACCGACCCGAGAACTTGAATCCTGAAGGTACGCCTAAACCTTCGATACGAAAAATACAGCGCGCACACACACACACACACACACACCGTCATAATGATGTCGAAACACCCAAGCGCTTGCAGCTCCCAGCCGTTGCAAGCAGGAGGTATGACTCGTGGTCTGCACTGTATGCTTCCCAAGTACTTGGCAAGACTTCGGGCCGTTCTGCTTTAAATTTCGGTGTTTCAAACTTGTCGGACCCAGCAGCGCCTAAACTCTATACCATCTTCGCATGTGCCCCTATAGCAGTGTCGATCCTAATCCCTGCACTCCTCTTGCCTGAACCCATCCTAGGCCTGCGCTATTGGTGAGCTTCTGGGGCGGCCTAGATTCGCAAACTCACCCCGCAAACATTCATCACGAAAGATCAAAGACCGCTGACAACATATGATGCAAATCTTATTCCTTGCATGTAATCCCCGAAGCCTTTAGGTGGCCCTATAAACCCGAAACTTAAAACCACGATAAGAAAAGATTCAGCCAGTTGAGGACAGCCTGTATCTTGTACGACGACTTGTACCTGAGTTGGCCGTGCGGCCGTCGTTGAGGCTAACCCTAGTGTCCAAGTACTCAAGTAGTAAGGTTTTACGTGCGAAAAGCCAGTCGGGGTGCAGTATTGGGACCTGAAACCCTCCTTTTTGCGTACTTGGACCCTCTGGTAATAAGAGTTCAGGGATTGGGTGATTTAATAGGTTTCAGTGCTGATAGGGTTTCAAGCTGTACGGCTGTAGCCTTTGGCGTTTAGGGTTGTAAAAATCTATGTAGAACGCCCATGGGGCTAATAGATTTTGGCACGACAGGTCTTCGGGGCTTCAGGGTCTCGGAGGGAGCCTGATCCCTGGAACATCACGCACCACCCACAACACACCCAAACCGGCTTGCAGTACCGCATCTCCACGCACGAACCCCAACAAATCTACGGGAAACAGATCACAGACTCTCTGCTAAACCCTAGACCAAGCAGTCCAATTCAGCAATGACACTTGGAGTAGTCGAAATGTTCCACAGCTTGCACCATGCACCAAACAAAGAAGACGGCCATGCCAAGAACTACCATTGTGCAGACCATGACAGCGACGATGTCCTCAGCAAGCGTTTAGAATTAGCTGGCTGGGGTTACGAACCCACGTTACGGGTTCAGAGCGAACGATAGTCCAACTAACATGGCAAACAACCGGCACCTCATTCACCAGACCTCACATTACAGAACAAATCCAGGCCCCTAAACCCGAAAACCTGAACCTCAACTTTTCTCCAATTTTGAGAGTTGAAGCTTTTGATGGCCCAGGTGTCCTGACCAACAAACACATAACTGGAAATGGGACGATTGCAAGTCTTTCAAACTGATCCTTCAACCCCTGCAAACTAGCCGTTCCAACCAAACCCAATTTCTGCACAACTCTGTTCAAGGGTTTCTGCGTTGAATCCAAACTATACATACCTACACATATACATACACGTGTATGTGTATGTGTACATGTTTTACCCAAACATAACCGAATATGTAGATGCATAAGTACAAACATATGCATAAACTGAAACACAAACTAACATGCAAACATAGAAACGATTATGTGTGTATCGCATAGAAACTGAAAGCAGTCGGTTACATATACATATACGTATACATATACATATACGTATACATATACATATACGTTTACACATATGTATTATAAGGGTAAACACAACTATATAAGTAAATGTAGATGTGTGTGTATATATATATATATATATGTTTGTATATGAGCTGTACACAATACTCAATACTCATGCGTTACTGGTGAACCATATGTACAAGTGGGACGGCATGACGATGAACCGAGATGTGAACTAAACCAAGATGGCATTGCCGTGTGTCCAAACATGAAAAATCTAAAACCATGGCACTCGCGGCACTCGCGTAAACAGGAACCCGAAACGTTACTAAAATGCAGGCATGAGCTCCCAAAGACCTTGTCCCCAAGTTCGAAGCCTCCTGCATGCAGCGTGACGCCAGTTTTGCGTCCTCGGAATGGAGGGTCGTTCATGGGGCTTTCTCGCTGTGCCCATTCGCAGCAACATCTCTATACACGATACCAAAAACCCTACTGCGAGACGGGGCCGATACCACCACGGCTCAAGCCATGTCAATGCACGGCTTCGGGTTTTATGCGACCAGTACCGACCCCACGTGCACACGCTTCCATACGCCCAACTCAATTTCAATACACCCTGTCTGCGACGCATTGTTGAGCCACGTTGCCACACATGGCAACATAGACAAATACTTCGCGTGTGCAAACACCGTCATCCTACCTAGGGTTTAGGGTTTAGGGTTACCACGATCATGTGAAGTGGCTTCGACATGCCAAGTGAGGCCTAATGTTCGGGGGGTTTTCGGTTGAAATAGTTTGGACCTAAACCCTAAACCCCCCTGAACTCCAGGGTTTTGCAATCAGGGGTCCCTTAAGGGTTCCTTGAAGGGATCTGGAAGGGTCTAGAAAGGGTTTAAGATTTTAGGGTTTATAGGGTATAATGTAGGAACCTGATTAAGAAACCTTGGGCCTTTATTAGGGTTCCTCATATGAACCCTACTGTTTGGAAGGTATAGGCCCAGGGTTTGTTAATCAGGTTCCTACAGTAGGGTTCAGGGTTTAGGGCTTATGGCTTTTAGGGTTTTGTTGTAAGGGTTGGGGGTTGAGGGTCTACAGGGCTTATGGCTTCATTTAATTTAGGATTTAGTTTTAAGGGTTGGGGGTTTAGGGCTGAGGGCTCCAAACAACCCAACATAAGTAACAGTTCTGTGCTTTAGACCGCAAAGTACGCACTATTATGTTTTCTTGGGGCCTTACGGTAAAACAACCTGGTCGTAAACTGCTATGCGAAGAACGCGAAGTATGCAGTCTCGTCACATAAGCTGTTGAAGCAGTATTGGAAACCTGAAAACAGCTTGTTATCTTCCTAGCCTCAAGCGTATACCTAATGCTAGATCAAGATCTTACTGTAAAACCAGTACTACGACTAAACCCTAAACTCTAAGCCCCTCCTAGACCCCCCAACTACCCTTGAGCCCTTTAAAGGGTGCTTGGGGGGTCCACCCCCAAGCACCCTAAACCCTAAACCCTAAACCCTAAACCCCTAAACCCTAAACCCTAAACCTAAACCCTAAACCCTAAACCCTAAACCCTAAACCCCTAAACCCTAAACCCTACGACTCCAAGCCGGAGCTCCCAACAGCCCTTGGTGACCAAATCACGCTGTCAGATACAGACTGAACCTCGGCGCCTGGCATCTTGTGCAGACATGGGAGTTTCCGAAAATAGGGAACCCTAATATAGTAACCTAAATAGTAGGATCCTTACGAATATTATTATAAGGACACCAAAATAAGGTACCCCTAATTTTCGGAAACCCAATTTTCCCCCCAAGGCTTATGG